TTTTGTAACTGTAGACTTAAGTTTTGTAACTGTAGACTGTGATGTGTGTCTTAAGAGTTGTGATTTGAAACTTGTACACTGATTGTTATGTGCAAGTTGTAAAATGAATGTTTCATGTTACGTGCCAAACGTTACATGTTACAAAACGAGAATTACATGCGACAAATTGGAAGTTACGTGTTACAAAACAATAATTACATGCTACAAAATGAAAGTCACAGTTACAAAACATGTTACAGGTTACAGAGCTTGGTACAAGTTACATGTAATATTGTCCCAATCCTAGTTGCATATTGTTATCTGCTGGTGTTGATCCATTGTGTTTTCTGAGATCAAAGGTCAACACCTCTACCTACCAGAACATTTTAGAGCAGTTCATGCTTCCTACTGCTGACCACCTTTATGGAGATGCAGATTTCCTTTTCCTGCAGGACTTGGCACCTGCACAGAGTGCCAAAACCACCTGTACCTGGTTTAAGGACCCCTGTTCTTGATTGGCTAGCAAAGTGGCCTGACCTTAACCCCCCACAGAAAATCTATGGAGTAATGTGGAGAGGGAGATGCAATACACCAGACCCAACAATTCAGAAGAGCTGAAGGCCACTATCAGAGCAACATGGGCTCTCATACGTAACACCTGAGCAGTGACACAGACTGATGGACTCCATGCCACGCCGCATTGCTGCAGTAATCCAGACCAGAGGAGCGCCAACTAAATATTGAGGGCTGTACATGTTCATAATTTTCATGTTCATACGTACTTTTCAGCTGGCCAACTTTTCTAAAATTACTTTTTTTGCTTTGGTCTGAATTGATATTCTAATTTTCTGATATACTAAATTTGTGACTTTCATTAGTTGTCAGTTATAAACAAAATTAATAGGAATGAACATTTGAAATATATCAGTCCGTGTGTAATGACTATACAAGTTTCACTTTTTGAACGGAATTACTGAAATACAGTAAATCAACTTTGTCATTATATTCTAATATTAGGACCAGCACCTATGTGAAAGACTTAACAAATGACCAGCCCATCCAGGTACAAGTGCATCCATTAAGTTTTACAGTATGTGCAAAGCTCACTTATTGTCCCTGGATTTTGCTTTAAAACATTATAGTGGTAGCGTTGCACGCAATGTGCCGACTGAATGTTAACCAAGTCACAGACTGAGAGGGAAAGTCAAAGTAGGAGGGGTAAAAGGAAGCGAGCATGAACAGGATTTAGGCACTGAGTACGGGGGAATGTGAAAAGGAAAAGTCCATTAAGGGACTCGTCTGGCTGCCAAGTAAAGTCTTCCACAACCAAAGAGCAACTACATTCCACCACTTCTTTGCTGCCAGCAGTGACATATTAAATGCATACATCAAAAATTAATTATTTGTTCAAGTGAGTAAGTTGGAGTAATTCCACAATGAAATGTGTTGGAGATCAGCTTCAGTAAAAATAACATTAAAGGCGATGCAAGGAGGAAAAACAGCTTATGGGATCATAGCAATACCTGAAGGGCGGGTGATGAAGCACTTAATGCAGTGACTAAATGAAAAGTCACTGTGATTTTATAATTACCATTGAACTGAAGATACTGAAGAGAGCAATCATAACAGCATTCCAACATGACCACTTTATTGCGAAATTAATTTAGCTTTTTCTTTCAGGATAAATCTTCATCAGTCATTCCTTTCTTTGGCAGTACAACTTGTAATAGCAGGTGCTTGCATTACAGTTCCACCTCCCCCAGCTGATCCAACTCTTTCAGTGTGTCTGTCCTTCATTTTTACCACCAACTTCATCTCTTTGCTCTTACTGTTTCATTTTTAATTGCAGATGTAAAAATGGTGCCCTTTGATGTTGCAGTACATTCCTTGCATCCTTCAAATGTCTGTGCTGCTTTGTGGTAACCCAAAGCAGGTTGAAAGCATTTCTTTTGGGAAAGAAGAGAAGCAGCAGGGGCACAGGGTACACCTGCAGCTCTGCTGCAGCACTGACTACAGAGCAGTCCCGAACATTACTCAACACCTGCCTAGACGCACATAGACTTACATCCAATGTCTGCATTTCATCCTGCACGTTGCTTCACCTCTTTAACTGCCTCTCCAGGCCACTCAGAGATGTCTCAGGGTGAGATGGTGAAAATGAGGACAGCTGATTCTATAAACCCTGTCATCAGTTTGTCTCAGTCATTAAAATTGACTGCAATTGGCCTATTTGTGGTCAGTTGTGATTGCCAATGGTATAGAAAAGTGTAGGGTATTCTTTTACAAGAAGACTGGATGATGAGGTCAGATCGAGCTGCTCTGCTTCTGAACAATGATTGTTAAGTATTATCTTCTGATCCCCACAGCAAATTACCTGTTCTGTCCAAAGATAAGACAAACAATTCACTAGTTCCTCACAAACTGAGATGATGTGAAGCTTTCACTCGTAACGGCATCAACATCAGTTAGCTTTTCACCAGGTTTAAAAAACCTTTAACTCCCATATCTTTGGTCAGACCTCAGTCTTAGCAAGCTCCACTGAGACAAAACACCAAAATGTGAAAGTGGATTCCTTCAGAGTGTCACGGGGAGCCACGAGATGATTGACTCCACGGATAATTTGCAGCTCAAACATCACTTTCCTTGTATCCACAAACACGGACACATCCAGCAGGAGAACGTGACAGGCGGCCTTGAGTGACAGCTAAGAATGCTGGAAGTTGAAGGTGAAAAACGAGGAGGGGGTGGGGGTGGCGTCAGGTCTGAGTTTTCAGGGAGGTGCGCTGGGACAGCTCGGGTCGAGCGGGCCACACGGCCGTGAGGGGAGGAATTTGTATTAAATTCATCTCTCTTCTAAATTGTTTCCAGCTTGTGCCCATCACAACACAGTCAGATCACCGACTCGTCCCGCCTTTATTCTCTTCTGCTGACATAAACAGTGTGTGTGTGTGTGTGTGTGTGTGTGTGTGTGTGTGTGTGTGTGTGTGTGTGTGTGTGTGTGTGTGTGTGTGTGTGTGTGTGCATGTGCGTGTGTGTGTGTAAAACCTCAGGAAAGGTCTAACCTCCAGAGTGCAATGCTTGGAATAATTTAGGTGTAGCTGAAAATATGTCTCGTGATTTCACGCATGCTTGACAGTGTAATCAATCTCTTTGAAGTGGTGGCCTGTCTCATTTAAAAACCAAATAAACGGCTACTTTCACTCAGCCTTTCGACATCAGGTTAACTGATTGCGGAAAAGGGTGAAGTGATTTTAACCATCTATGTCACTCTGACAAGGATCTCGAAAGGCTGTGTTTCTGTCCAGTCTTTCAGACTCTGTTTGCTGTATGCAAAACCATCAGAATGATTGTGGAAATGGAAGTCTTTCAGCATGTTTCTGCATCCCATTTATACCCACCACCTCTGAGATCTCCAATGTTACTCTAGAGGAATCAAATCTGAGGAAGTTTGCCTGAAAATTCAAGCCCAAGGTCATGGACCTGGGTCCCAGCTGTGAGCGGTTTGATGGTTGGCTGAGTTCAGACAGCAAAAACAACCTCTCCCCTGTTTGTCAGGCCAAAGGTACAAGGCTCTGTGAGTCAAAGGAAGGTCGGGAAGGGAAAGCGCTTCTATTTGCCATTCCTGGGATGTGGAGATGCTGCGTGGGGTTACTCATGGCGACGGCTGACTGTGGGGCCCAGTCAAGAAGGTGGGGGTCAATTAGAAGCAAATGGCCTGCATCATATTTATTCCAACGTAGCACGCCTCTTTCATGTTTTACCACATGTTTGAGGACTTGATCTGACCCCGACCTTATCACTCTCACTTCTTATCCCTCAATCGTCCGTCTAAGAGCTTGTAGAATTGGCTAAAACCTTTGGGAAAGCAATTTATGTCAACAGTGCTTTCACAAAGTCAAGTTAGTAACGCAATCTCTGTGTTGATTCTCAACTACAATCCCCACCCTTAGCTTTAAAAGAGACATCGAGACAAGAGGGTGTATGATAGTCAATCTTTCATTGGCAAAGCAAAAACTGTTTCCTTCAGAAACACACACATCTTCAAAGATTGTTAAAGTACAATAGCTGAAACACACAAACAAAGTGGCACTCCTCCAGAGAGAAGAGATTGCTCTTGACATGACTCTCGAAGCAGTCGGATCTGAGAGGTAAGCCATACATCTTCTAATGACAGAGTTGCAGCCGTCCTGTGGGAAGATATTTCAAAGATTTCTGAGCAAACTGCATGACAAGTACAGATATCTATGTTGTGTTCAGGAGACATCCATGGGAGCAGGGGGGGTTGCAAAGTGGTGAAACAATGTGCAAAAGATGTTGGCAAGGGATATGAAATTAATGGAAGAAATGTTGTTCCTGAAACTAAGGTAGAGTTCTGTCAAATGGTGGGAGCTGATGCAACCAATGAAAACTCGCAAGTATTTTGAAAAAGAGAAACAGATAGAGTGAAGGCGCCTGTCCGTATACAACCGATTGAAACCACATGTGTGTGCACGAGGTGAGGACGCGGCGATGTTGCACACACATGCGAGGAACAAATGCCGTCATTTGCACCCAACGGGAGAATGTCTTACTCCTGCCAACTTTTCACTGCTCGCAAAACTTTTAGCACATCTATGTCTGTGAAGGTTCTCAGTCATCCAGCACTTCTACTTCACAGCATCTGTCTCTCCAAACAAATAAAAAAGCTTTTACTGAATATGAAGTTCATGATAACATTGTTTCCATGATCTTACTCTCTGCTTACAGAAAAACACTTTGCCATGGCAAGAAGCTCACAGGAGTATGCAGTTAGAGAAGTCGTGGGAAGAGGGCCAACAGACAGTCCAGTCAGTTAAATGCTATGAGTTTTGATCTTTCCTCAAAATGTGTTTTTCCTAATAATTTCAATCAGATCATCTATTCTCTTGTGTTTGCCATGGATTCATATAAATTTCTTCATATTTTCACATTAGATGGCAAACTATACCATATTTTGAAAATTCCTCAAATTGCATGCATCCTCTTTGATGCAGCAGACACTTTTAGGAGGGAGAGTCAATAAGAGAAGGGTAGCTGGGTGAGTAAGGGGTGAGACAGCCGTGCTATGGGAAAGTGTTTTGGAGAAACCAAATTAAGGGGAAGAAAGGCCGGACACAAAGGCCTTTGAAAGCAGCAGACAGTTCCCTTGACATGTGCCTTAAAAGAGATGCTGCCGCTGATGCCAAGAAAGGAGGGAGAGGGGTGGGGGTAGGAAGAGAGGAAGAGAAGGGAGAGCGACTGAGGGAAGATCGAGAGAAAGGTGGTCAGAGAGTAAAAGGCACAGAGGGAAGACTTTAACACAAACTACACAGGCATAGAGAAGAACTGTACAAAATATAAAGGCAAGAAGCTCATTCTGAGAACCTAATTAGAGACAATATGTAGTTTTTACCATCAGTCTCTGGATGTTGTTGAAAATGAATTCAATGATGCCCAGTTATTGAAAAGTATTGGCGTTTTTGTAACATATAACCATCTATGTAAAATTGGGTGTGAAATACATGAGAACTAAAACGCATCAAATCTGCTTTTTTTCCCACTTGCAACCCAAATCTGATTTTTTTATGACGGTCTGAACGCACAGATCCGATTTTTTTAAATGTGATCCGTGTCACTTGAATATGTAGTATTGATTCTGACACATATCTGTTTTTGAAAGCGACTGCATTCTGAACGGTCATGTCGTATTAAATCCGTCTCCTACGTCACTGAGTCAGTGGAGGTGAGAGTTGGGTGTGGATGTTCCTGAGGAGAAGCGCTGACAGAAGGGTTCAGGAGTCTGTCTGGATATCCTGTTTTAAGGTTTGGAATTAAAAATACAGGAGAGAATGTAAACAGAAGTGGGAGGTGCTGCTAGAGCGAAGCGTTTCACCTGTCTCCGTCTCCGTGAGGGAGGGGGTCTCCGTGAGAGGGGGATTCTTCGTATATGAATTAATACCGGAACATTTTCGGTGAATATTAATTCAGGAAGACGGCGAGAACATGGAGTAAAATAGTTTACAGTTTTTAAAACAGTTTCCAGCCCAAAACAGAAGAATTAACAGGTGTAATCCTGTCCTGATCACGTCAATGATCTGTCAGGGAAAACGTTTTAGGGTTCCATCTGCCTGGTTATTCTCATGTCCATGAACATTATGCTGTTGTCTTTTCTTCTCCACCCCCCCACACCCACCCCCCCACCCCCCATCAGTAAATGCATTTTGTCCTCATGGGTTCCCGTAGAAGGAAACATGGCATCTGATATGGCATCGTCCAGAGACTTAGACCCGCTCTCATGTATTTTGGACCATATTTTTATGGTCATATGTTACAAAGCCGCCAATATATTTCAACAACTGGGCATCATTTCATTCATTTTCAACAACATTTTGATGGATATTTCCTGAAATTAATGGTAAAAACTACACATTGTCTCTTTAAGTGACAGTGTGACAAAGATCTGTCATACTTTTCAAATCCTAGACTGTCACCGTCTATTTTCTATCAGAAGCTAATGCAGGAGATAGGTGTAGGAGACTATCTTCAAATTCATTCTGTATGACAAACTCAGAGTGAGCGATTTTTAATCAGAAATAATATTTAAAAATGTTTTTTCAGTGGAGGTGACCTTTAACATATTAAGTAAAAATTTTAAGTTACGTAAAAGTGATAGATGAAATGAAATATAAAATTTCTCCTTTCATGTGTGGATATGACTTTAAATTGCAGACTGAAGGACAGAGATGGGTGCAAAAACAATTTAACGTGAAAGCCAGAGCTGGTGTGGGAGCGAATAATAAAGGAAACTTGCGTAAGTATAAACATGAAGATCAGAGAGGCAGACAAGCAGTGGAGAAGATAGTAGAAACTTCCAAAGGCATTTAAGGTAGACTAGAACGATGACTGATGATAGACAGGTGTGAGCTGAAGCAAGGAAACAGTGAGTATATCACAGTAATACAACAGTTATAAGCTTAACATACAAAATTTTTATCCAAAGTTAAAAAAAATTAAACAATATTCAACAAATAAAACAAGCCATGACAGGATCATGTTCTTCTCAAAGGGATTTTATGGAAAAGACATTTGGGCTCAGGCTCAATAAAAAACTATTTGATGTCCACGGCCTCCTGCTTACCCAGAATCCTTCACTATTCTGCAAACGTATCGCCTTTCCTTTCACAACATCACCCATTGTTAATTTCCAGTCATGCTGTGGCACTGTAAAAGCGGTTTAAATATAAACAGGGGACCACACATCGCATCTTTTGTGTGAAATGCCTGTGAAAATAAACTTTACTACCTGAGAAATACATCAGTAAGTCATAAAAAAAACTTGCCTTTGATCATGAAAATTATATTAACAAAGTTATGAGGAGCCAATAAAAGTGTCACGTTCAAAGAAGTCAAGGGTTTGAAAGAGTGGCAACAACATAAAAAGGTTCGGAATCCCAAAATTGGTTTAAAGTGAAAAGTAGTAAGTTGAAAGAGGGATGGCTAAACAGAGGTGCGGCGGCTGGGCTTTTATCCCGCTTCGAGGCTCTGCTAACACACACCCCACTGTCGTAATCCACACTGACAGAGTTTTCATCATCTGCAAGGGTTGGGACGATGGAGACCTGGAATCGGTTAAGTTTTGGGGACTTTCCTCCTCTCTCTCCCCCTCTCTCTCTCACCAGTGGCGGTTCATGCTGAGTGGCTGCAGACGAGGCCACCAAGGCCCCCTTTGTGCCGGTAATCACCAGGTGGTGAGTGATGGTGCTGTGGCCTCCCGGTCTGAGACAGGGGGGCAGAGTTAGGAGGGGAGGAGGTGAAGAGGAGAAGGTGCAGGACTAGAATATCCTGGAATGTTCCCAGAACAGAACAAGGGTGTGAAAGAGAGGAAAAGACAGGGAAAAGGAGGAAAATAGAGAGACTATTTGATGAGACGGCTGCAGTGGGGTTGTAGCATCTGTACAGGTGCACCACAAGAGGGATGTGCTTCTCTGTGATGACTCAATTCATAATGAATCATCAAGGAAGCAAAGAAAGACACTTCCAACATCTTCGGAATTATCTCAGTTTCACTTTCCCAGTCTTTCTTTTAAAAAGTAATTTATTAATCTGAGCTCTGTTGTTTCATAATTTTATGTCTTGACTTAATAACTTTCACTGAAACATGGCTTCATGTTTTGAATGATGAGCGGATGTCTAGACAGTGAGCACAACTGCATCACAACTCATCCCCATTCCGAGATTTTGGAAACAGCCAGGTTGATACGAGAGGTTTAAGGTTAATAATGTGCCCCCACCTCACCTCCCACTGCATTTCTTTACCCTTCTCCCACGCTCCCTCCATCACTAACACACCTGTGTTCTCACAAAAGCCACGTCCCTTTTCCCTCAGTCTCTGTCACACAGAAGCATGAACACACACAAGTCAAACACATACACACATTCCACACTTCCCAGCTGCCTGTGCACCTGGGCAGCCAGCTGTCATCGCTGTGGTAACTGGCATACAGCAAGCAGTGTCACTATCACCTGGCTCATCAGCTTCAGATGAAGAGAAAAAAAGAGCACAAAGGCGGAAAGAAAACAAGCAAAGAGGCAGAAAAGTGATGGACCTCTAAACCGTTACTGGAAAGATAGAGGCAGCTGACTTCTCCTTACAGATATTTGCCATCAATATCTGAATTCAATATGCTTTTATTACAGATCATTACAAAAGTAAGTCATTAGAAACATGAGTAGCTCAACAAATTACACTAAAACTAAAAATTGCATCCTCGGGCAAGACACTTAACCCACCTTGCCTGCTGGTGTTGATCGGAGGGACCAGTGGTGCCAGTGTATGGCAGGCCACGCCTCTGTCAGTGCGCCCCAGGGCAGGTGTGGTTACACTGCAGCTCATCATCACCAGCGTGTGTGAATGGGTGGAAGACTGATTGTGTGAACCCTAATAAGATGCTATACAAATTCATGCCCGGTACTAAAAGGCATCCATCCACATACAATGGCATGTAAAGATTTTGGAAACCTTTTGTGTTGCATGAATATCAAATAACACCAAAATATTTTCAAATTTTCCTAAAATAAATACAACACAAAGACAAATTAGTCGTTATCTCCCAGGGCTCTGACGGCTGATGGTTGCGACCACCAGGGTAATCCTCTGCACCTCTAGGGAGGGGGGCTGGGGCTTCTCAGTCATCTGTCTCCCTGCAGTTCCCGCGCTTTGGGGGGACCCATGGATCTCTAGTGCTTGAAACTCCTGCTTCTTCCACACGTCTGGGGGGCAGGTATGTGGCCCCTCACAATCACTATTAGACATTCCTATAGAAAAACCTCACATTTACAAGCGTGTGTACGCACACAGGTGCTCACATGGTGCTCTCACAAGGATGGACTTGGACATTTTTACCACATCACCTATGTGATGGCTGTGGTTGGCACAAAATACACTATGAAACATTACTGTGTGTTTCTCAGTAAAAATTGTTACTTTTATATATCCTCATATTGTTGGAGCAGGGATAATTTGGTTTTGTTGTATTTTTGTGTGTCCCTTTTCTCTCTCTCTCCTTCTGCAGGTCTAGAAGCAGATTCTTGCTCATCGTTTATTGTTTATTTTTGTAAATCCCCCCCCCCCCACCTCTTCTTTCTCTCTCCCCCTGTCTCTCCCACTTCGTCTCCATGTCCGTTGGTATTTTAAACAACCAAAAATACTTATTTTTGGTATCAGGAGTGGCAATATAGCAGAAGCTATAACGCTACACCTGTGAGAGTAAAACTGCAAGGCTTGTCTTCGGCATTCAGACATCAATTCTGATTGCTTCACAGCTGGACAGGACACAGTGACAAAAATAAAATAAATAATTTCTGCTTAATCAAAGGAAAAATAAAATAAAGTCTCGGTTTAAAGGATGTGTGTCATAAAATAACTCATCAGGACCTGAAAGAGTTTGTTTAAAACTTAGCTTCATTTTTCTTCTACTGGAAAAATTTGTCGATAATTGTTATTTAGTTCTGTCATACAGACTGGTCATCATCTCTGCGTCATAGTCGATAAAATCAGTTTTCTCTTTCATATTCTGAGGTCTCATTTATCAAACATTGCGTAGAATCCTTACTAAAACCGTACTTAAGCTCAGCAAAAAAAAATGTACTTACGCCAAGTAGGTTTGTGATCTATCAAACATGGAGTACGCACAGCTGCACACAATCTCTGCTTCATAAATCAGAGACTAACGAGATAGGTTCTCAGCTGCTTTTTTGTCACATCCCGCCCTCACCACACCCACTTACTGCCATAAATGGTCAATGCAAAGTGCCTTGTGGATCTCATGCATATACATAAGCCGGCTTGTTGCAGCATTTCGATCACAACCTCAGATCGAGGAAGCGCTATTTCACAAGCAGAAGTTGAGGCACTTTTGGGTGAGGTGGAGAAACGAAAGGAAGTGCTTTTGCAAAGAAAATAAGAGAAAATCTACAGAGTGGCACAGCGTTGCTGAAGCCGTCAATGCTGAATTCTTCAGAGAGATCTGTGGCGGATGTAAAAAAAAATTCCAATCAGGATTCAATCCCCAGACTCCCGAGTGAGAGTCACGCGTGCTAACCAGTCAGCCAAACAGAGATCTCCCTCGTCCTAGTACATGTGTGTGCACGAGGGCGCATGATCAATCCAGTCACAGTGACAGGACACTCACTGTCACAGATGCATGACATTCTGTCTCAATCTGTCCCCCTGCTGATTTTCTGCATTCCGTATTCTGCGCTTCAGGCTGTGTGTGTGTGTGTGTGTGTGTGCGTGTGTGTGTGTGTGTGTGTGTGTGTGTGTGTGTGTGTGTGTGTGTGTGTGTGTGTGTGTGTGTGTGTGCGTGCGTGCGTGTGTGTGTGTGTGTGTGCGCGCGTGGGGGGTCTTGTTCTGTGTGAAAATGAAGCAGTACAAGTGATAATAATGCAGGATTTCATTATTTTGTCCTTCTCCGCAGCAGCACTGCAGGTGTTCTCCATGTCCAAAACGTGCGTGAGCCAGGTCCTTAGTCAACTTAAAGTTGCGCAAATTTTTCCGCTAAGTTTTCTTTCATAAATCCCAAAGTTTGCGTGGAAAGTTGCTTACGCAGTTTGCCGACCCCGTTTTGTGCATAAGCAAGCTTGATGTCACGTTGTTTAGGACCCAAATATGCAGATTACCCAGACGACAAAAGGCAGGAGTTGATTTGAAGTAAAAATCCTTTTATTGCAGGATGAAAAACCAAAAATTAATCTAAGGCAGCGAGCCAAAAGTCCAAAAGTCCTGGAGCACAGGACACCCAAAGCTCTCCTAGAGCACAAAGTAAGATGATCAAAACGTCCTGAACACAGGACACCGAAAGCTCTCTTAGAGCACCTAAAACCTGGAGACAAAAAGCTCAGACAGCGCACAAACAAACGCTGACAACAATAAAATGGACCGACACAACACAGAGACAAGACAGGGCTTATATAGACTGGGAAGATGAGAGGTAGATGAATTGCAGGTGTGGGGAGAGGGACCAGGTGAACACAATTACTAAAACAGGGAGGAGGAAGAAAAACAGGTGGGAAAAAGCACACTAAATAAAGAAAGGCTGTAACAAAGGAAAATGACCTAAGAGAAAAACAAAAGACCAGAAGGTATGAACCATAACTAATACTCTAAGGGGAAGCTAACACTAAAGGAAAGCACTACAGAAAGAAACTACAGGGGCGTGGCTAAGAGGGGGCCAAGAGAGCACAGCACCTGGGAGAGGGATGTCTGAGGAAGGAAACGTATGGGCCATTCCCATCTGTACCGGGTCGGCCCGGGCCGGGTAGCCCCAGTCGGCCCCAGCCTGGCCCGGTTGATTCCACACATCCTTGTCTTAAGCCCATGTGTGCTGATTCTACCCACCAATCAGAGGCTTGCTCTAATGGAAGGTGTGAATTTGCTGTCAGCAGTGGGTGTGTTGGCCCTGGTCAGCCTGAAGCAGACCCCCTCTCGAAGAGGGCTGAGAATGAGCCTTGGTTGGCCCGGAAAAATACCAGGCCACCCAGATATGTAAACAACCTACTCTACCGGGCCCGGGCCGACCCGGTACAGATGGGAATGGCCCACTAGATGGCAAATGGGGAACACCAGGAGACACATGAGGAAGACGCAGACACGACACATGAGGGCGCTAGAAGACACAAAATGAGCACCTAGAGACGAATGGAGGACAAAAGGAGACACATGAGGTGAGACGCAGACACAGACCATGACACTTGATAAATGAGGCCCCTGATCTTTATGACTCTACTTAAATCAGAGGCTGAGTTGAATTAGGGACGGTGTGGATTGGTGATGGTCAGTACACTATATACTGGTCCGGCATATTTTGGAGAGTGTTTCCACTATCAGTTGGACTCTTACTGGGCAAAGCATAGCATGGTGCCATGAAACATGATGCAATAAAGCATGACAACAATGGAGCCCAGACAGCAGCTTGTTTATGTTTATGTTTATGTTTATTTATTTGGCAGACGCTTTGATCCAAAGCGACTTACAATTTATAACCTATAGGGCATGTTGCAGCTTGCACCTGGTGTTAAAAAATGAATGCGTTTCTGAGGAGAGCGATTAAACCGAAACAGCATTTGGGATTTTATTTAGAAATATGACGACCGGAAGTATGTTAGCATTTTATGTTGAAACCTATCACGGCCATTCGTTAATTCATTTTGAAAAATTACAACCGTAAGTATGTTAAATGACAACTACATATGAACTATAGAGAAATAATTGATAGATTTTACGTAAGATTTTATGTTGAAACCTATCAATTACAAGCGTAAGTATGTTTGCCGTTTTCCGTAAATACGTTTGCCGATTTCTTTTGTAATGTATCCCGTGCATTTCCCGTCCTGACCGTCCTGACAGTGTCGGTCGTCCTGACAGTGGAGCCTCCACCGGAAGCAGCCTGACAGTGGAGGTCTGCAGCAAGGTGCCTCTCGTCCCAACGCGTCTTAAACAAATGCTTGGTCACCCATTGTCCTTTTTCAACGCTTTGGGTGTGAGAATTTGTTGTTTTTCTAGATGCTTGATTATCACAAGAGAATTTCTCTTTAATTCTCCAAACTGAGATTGCTCTGACCATTACCTACAGAGTGTAAGATACTGACAGCTGAGAACCCTGGTTCAAAAACTCCAAAGGAACCAGGATCCTCCCCAGATGCTCCTGCTGCCATAATAACAATGGAGCTTCCATGAGAACCACAAAAACATGGCTGCTGCAAAGACTTTTTCAGTTCCCCGTAAACGATTCAGCATTTTAAATGAAGCTTGAAGAAGGTTGGTTGGCATTTGATAAAACTTCCCAACAGCAGAATGCCACCCAGAAATGAGCAGACTGTAATAGACAACTTGTTCCACTTTGCTGCAAAAAACCTTATGCTCTCATTTTAAAAGGTCAGGATCAAGGGTGCTGCAGAACGAAACTTTTTAGAGACCCCCTGCATGGGGAGGCTTTAATTACAGCCGAGGAAGTGGCACATGTTAACGTAACCCCCCTGCACACACGCACACACAAACACACACCCCTGCACGGCTGTTGCATCTCATGATGCTGAATGAAAGCAGAAATGCACGTTAATACATTTAATGTGCCTGTGTGTGTGTGTGTGTTCGTGTGTGAGTTAAACACTAGCAGTGTGTGGCAAAAGGTGCCATGCAGCATATGTGCAGGCACGTCTGCTCTGCCTGTTAAGGAGCGAGGACATCAAAAGCCAGAATTTATACCCCCTCATGCACACCCGTTTGCCACCCCTCACTATAAATCCCACCCCAATAGGAGTCATTTATGGGACAATAAGAGCCAATTTTATAGCTCCCCTGAAAATGAAGGTAATTCAGAGGTGGAGGATGAAAAATGACAAGAGCTGTTTTGGGGTTTTTTTCTTCCCTAGCGGCTACACGCAAAGCGATCTGTGTTTCCTCAGAACTTTGTGGAGCGTAAGTCAGGGCCGGGAGACTTTAAGAAACACCAAAACAAAATGGAAAGTGCATTTTTCCTCTAAGCTTTTCTTTCACTCTGTGTTTTTCTACGACTTTTTGTGCAGACTTCTATCTGCACGGGTGACCTCTTTTGTCCTCAAGAGGTTGCAGCATGCTTTCAGTTGCATACATGCATAAGGACGATGGGATTAGCAGATTTATGGACACACAGACGCACACAAGAGCTGGACCGGATCACATCTGTCTCAGAGTTACTCAGGTGTGAGGAGAACACTTGAATACAGAAAGTGGAGGAAAAATTGGAAGAAAAGCCTTCCCCATACTACCAAACTGTTCAAGCATTAAGAACGCTTTTCTGGGCTGTTTTCCTGCTAGATCTATCTTTCTCATTCAGCATGTCCGTTTCCACAGCCGACACCAAAAAGACGAGTATCTTTTCGAGGT